CCCCCCTCCCCTTCCCCGGGGCCTCCCTGGAACCCTTCTTGTGGCAGACCGCAAGCGAAAGTGCCCACAATCAAATAAATATAATGAAGCGTATTTCACGAGCTTGCCACGGACCCTCGATTAGATATGGAGGTCGGAAGGATGTCGCCCTCCCCCTCCACAACCCCCTTCCCCGTGTGAGGTGGACATGAGTCGCTAATGCGCCCTAATGACTGTTGATTGCGAGCGCTTCGCGAACCCACACCCCAACCCCGACCCACCCCGCCCTTCCGCCAAACCCTACTGCATTCACTCTGCAGGAGAGGATTTAAGGGATTTGCGCCCTAGAGGGACGGGACCAGGCGGAGAGGGGGCGGAAACATTTCACCAGCTTTTATTTTATCATAATGGGTGAGTGAGTTCTGAAAATGAAGGAAAAATGGTTGCCTTTAAGGACGTGGCGAAACTTTCGGGTCGCAATGAAGAGAACGCAAAAAGTGGATTAAAAACACTCTCGATGCTGTGACACAAAGATTGTTAAACCTATGCATAGTACACTCTGTAGCCATCAAGTAACCATGCGAGTAGGGTTTTTGAGTCACAAAATTGCCATTGACTCAAAAGGCGGCGAAGTAGGTTCGATTAACCAACTTGTTTTCCCACTTCAACAGGAATTCGGTGGTCACAGATGTCGCCCGCTTCAGAGCGAAATTATTGCTAGAAGTTCACATTTACCAATTATGCATCTTACTTCAAAAAGAGCTCGCGAGAGCGCCCTGGCAATGAGACGTAGACACGAAGCCCTGCATACGTAGCACAGACACGACGGACATTTTTTTTAATCGCGAGACTTAAAGGAAGTACGGGGGGGGGGGGGGGTTGATTCGATTCGTGAGCGTATTTAGAAATATTCGCTTCGACTTTTATTTGTCCGATTCGATTCGAACAAAAAACCTTGAGTTGCCACACATTGCCAATTGACTGGCAATGATTCATCGACAAAAAATTTATGGGAGAGAAACTCCCCACAGTGCAAGCGGGCGAAATTTCAGGTCAGAGGGTTCTACTTTGTCGACTTACCCCTTAAAAACAATGTCCACTCTTTTGACCCAACCCTTTCTTTTCTGACACCCGCTTTTTCATCACCTTAAGTAAGGGTGGTTGACTGGATTTGCCACAATATATCATTTTTTCCTCTTCAATAAGAAATATTTGAACACTTAACCACTCTGCAAATCTAACTGTATAACAACTTGACAGTTTAAACTGCAAAATTTAAAGTTTCACAGTTTAAACTGCAAAACTAAAAGTCTTACAGTTTAAACTGCGAAACTAAAAGTCTTACAGTTTAAACTGCGAAACTAAAAAGTTCTACGGTTTAAACTGCAAAACTGTGAAGTTCAACAGTTTAAACTGCACAACTGCATAGGGCTAGTTATACAGTTCAAACTGTTGAACTACACAGTTTTGCAGTTGAAACTGTAGAACTTTCCAGTTTCGCAGTTTAAACTGTAAGACTTTTAGTTTTGCAGTTGAAACTGTAAAACTTTTAGTTTTGCAGTTTAAACTGTCAAGTTGTTATACAGTTAGATTTGCAGTGAGAAATATTCGGTGGCGAATTGTGAACGATTCGAGATTTCAGACCTTTCGGGTTCGAATCGATGTGATTCGGCTTAGACTTGAATCGAGGCCCGATTCAATTTGATTTAGAACATTCGCACAGCACTATGGCATATTGCCACTATAGTGACCTTTAAAAAGTCCCGTCGCCAAATTTTAGCCATTGCTGGAAATGACGTTGGTGCCATAACCAAATGAAAAACAAGGTTGGTGTTGCTGTAGCTCGTACCTATCCTTTACAAAATAGCGCTTCATCTTCCCAAAACAATAGAGTATCCTTAGTTCAATAGTTTCGAGAGGTGATTGTGATCTACTGATGAAAAAGAATGTTCAATTGGGTTTCTACTTTTTTTACTAAAACGTAAAGGGAAATGCGAAGAAAAAAATGCGGGTGCAGTACGCTGCAATTGTTGTCGTAAGCGATTAAAGCGTGTCCACGAGGCAATCCAATCACACGCGTGACTGGACACACGGTCGCAGTCAGCGTGTCAGGCCACGCCAGCCACCCACCCGGGGCGGGCTTTAGCTTAGGTGACGTCTAGCCGGGTAACGTGCGAGCTCCGGCACGCGCTTCATCTCAATCATTAACTAGACTCAATTAACAATAAGACAATGTGGATCGACTCGGGCACTTTGGAAGAATACGTATACATTAAGTAGTAAATTGAGATTTATTTTCATCTATACAGGTAACAGACACAGTAACATCTCACCAACTTTCAACCATTTACAAAGAAAGCAACCACAAAATTACCGTCCCTTATAATTTTCACTTCTCTAATTTATCTATATATATACAAAGCCAATTTACTAGTATGCTTTTAGGGACTTTCATTCTGAAAAATTCAGCAATGACTCGAACATTAAGATACATTTACACAATGAACCTAAGCTCACAAGATTGTTTTTTACGAAAAAGGATCAAATGGAAATTACTCTTCAACGAAAGTATTTACAGAACTACAAAATTCCTAGACAACTCTGGTCACGTCCTACTCACAGAACTCATGACCCGTTATGTTTAGTTTCTAAAACTGTTACGATAGATTTCTCGGATAGAGAAACTATTTGAAACTGTAACTGTAATGTTGTACGTAAACTGCACAAGCAGGAATTTCGTTTGTTGCGAATTTACAGATATTGATTGCTCATAAACTGCATATCTAAAGAATATCACATCAAATGTTACATACCCCACCCGATTGACAATCAAATTTGGAACGGGTTGTTTTTAAGCTAAAGCGTTTTGTCTGTAACAATATTTTTACGGACGAAAATAGATACAGCACATTCGGTTAAACGTAGCAGTTGAAAGGATAAATTCATCTGAACACTGATAAATAAAGTAAGTGTGTCACTAGCGTGCACATGCTAGAGATCAACACAACGTTGCATTCTTTTAAGGGTTTGACTGGATCCATGAATACGAAAAAGTGTTGAACATTAAAGTTGAACACTTCGAAGTTTGCAACTTCGAGGTTGGCCATAACGCTTGTGTGTCAAAGAGAACTGTTGCAAACACTTTGAAGAATTCAAATTTCCAGTCCAACACCTAAGAGTGTGCACCATACAGTTAAACACTACCATGAGCATGCACCTTCCACACTCCTGTTTTTCAGTGAAGTTGAACAGGAAGACAAACAAGAAACAAAACACATCTCATGTGGTCAAATTGGCAAGATCATGTCTTTCGGAACAAACCGTGACAGTAACTGAACGAGACGGGCGTAGCCCAAACTTTCCACAGAATCACAACGTAAGGACAGAGATTGATGGCCCTTTATCTAATTGAATTAAAGTGTGCCTCACGCAGTTAAGAGGATGGTTGTGCCTTGGGCTCTCACTGGTTCACGGGCAAGTAGGTCAAAGTAGGTTGGACCTTGTTTACGTTGTTTCGATACGTCCCAGACAGCTTTTCTGAACTGCTCATCAGCCAACGACCACATTATCAGTTCTTTGCGACGACATACTTTCGACACAACACATACTCATCTTTTAACATTCGGAAATACATTACCTCCACCAATTCTATCACGATTTGTAAAACAGGATTCAATCTCAGTAACTTAACTGCTAACTATGTACAAGATTCAACGAGTATAACTCCAAACGTCACTTTACAACCTTCCTCATAATCTTCTTTTACAAAAATATATATGTCTATGTGCATAGATAAATTCTTAAAGTATGTACACCTTAGTGGCTGAAGCCGTTGGGTACGCACGCTCATGTGTCCCCTTCGTTGTACCCTCACTCAGTACGGCTGCCAGAGATGTCTGGTGGCTCGGACCGCTGAAGACGACACGCCTCGACATATACGAGAGAACGCTTGTAGCACAAATAGTATGCTTCGCAGTTTAGACAGATTCTGCGAACATTTCACATTCATTACAAAATGTCTATGAACGTCCACAGTATGTAAAAGTCTTATTCGACTAAAACAACGTATGCGTATCTGCTTAAATCCCAGGACAAAAAGGAGAAACTCGATGTGCGACTATTCCATTTTCCTGATCTGGAAATATGGGCCACGCCCATGCCGACGGAGAACGTGCACTTTTAACTCTGCGACTCGTGTTCTTGAATTTCATGGATGACAAATCAACTGACCCCAAAAGACATGTGGTTTTAAAAATATCAAGAATCTGCAGCACTGGTGAGTGATATGACGGCCAGTTTTTCACTTCTTGTCGAAGGGTGTTTAAAGCAGAATATCACACGAGAGAGTGTGCTATCTGTGATGAGCACCAAGAAGAACGGCAGCGGCCACACAGATGAAGCTGCACCACCAGTTGACTGACAGCGACGGACCTGCAACACACGTTAGCAGAGGAAAAAATTAAACTGTGCAAAGAAACTTTGAACCCGACGTCTGTGGCATGCGATGAAGTGCTCTGTCGATGGCATACAGCGCACCCGGCTGTTTGAGCGCGCCGTGCGCGCAGGTCACAGAAACGTTTGCCCGCATCCTGCCTGCCCGCACACCCCGCACCCTGCAGGGAACCACTGGTGGAGGCCGCTCCAGCAGGGAAGTTAAGTTCAGCGGCACACCGTTTTCCTGCGCCCAGAGAGGAAGCCGTTGTCGTCATCTCTCTACGCAGAGCGGCATCAACGGCATCCGGCGCCGTTTTCCGGCAGCGCACCGCACCGCTCCGCGCCCGCGTGCCGTGCCTTCCCAGGTGGGGCCCAGCGGCACCGGCTAATGCCGACTGGGGCGCCCCTTGAGTACCTCCTCGCTTTTGTTCTTCAAGTGTAGTGTTTCCTCTCCGTAATTCGCTCGGCAATGTGTTCGTTTTAATTGGCCGCTCCTCTGCGGCGGCGAGGGCTTGGCTCCGTAATGTGAGCCAAGCCGGAGGAGCAGCGAGATTCAAACTTAGGAGCAATAAGTAAGTGCTACGCCGAAATCAAAAGAAGTGTACGAGCGAGTGCTTTAGCAAAAGCGAGACTCGGGATAGTAAGTAATTCGTCCTTCCAGATGTGTTTTCATAAAACTAAAAGGCACCATTTATTCTTTTTAATAAATACACGTTTACCCCCCGGAAGTGTACGAATGGATATTTGCACACCTACAAGTGAGCGACATTCACACACTTACGTTTTCAGTGCATCCACGAAGCGTCACCTGCAGTGTCAGTGTCCAGGTGGACATTCAACCACTGATCGCATTAACACACATGCACACATGAGGGCGCACTCACCCCAAAAAGCCCGAATGCCATACTAATATTTCTTGCGTTCGGATCTTCTATCGCGCCGCGCTTCTGCGAGCGAACTTTGAAATGGAGCGAACCAAACTTAGCGAGAAAGCGTAGTGGGCTGGGTGTGAGTGTAGGTAGATAGCTAGAGAGAGAGAGAGAGAGAGAGAGAGAGAGAGAGAG